ACACGGACGAACACACACACACACACGATGTCACTAGTCTGTCTCGGTCTGTCTGTCTCAGTCTGTCCGTTGGCCTGTATGTCTCAGTCTGTCAGTCTGTCTGTCTGTCTGTCTGGGTGGGGCAGGACACAAGGACCAACACACCCACGATGTCAATAATCAGTCTCCCTCAGGCTGCGTAACCGACATCGCGAACGCTGAGCTCCGAAACCATACGGGCAATCATACACACACACGATGTCAATTTTTGTATGAACGTTTCAAAAAACAAAAGCACATCTAGAGCCGAAAATGGCGCCCCCCGCCCAAGCTAAACCTTTGGCAACCTGTTGTTTCTGCGAAAAGATCAAATATTGAAAACGAGCACTTGTCACACGGATGCACTCTTCTTAGCTTACTTCGATGAGGTTACAGGTTGGTGCAAGTAGTAAGGTCATAAGTCAGTATAAGTAAGTTATCTATGTAAGTTGTACTGTAAGTTGTAACTAACTGTAGTTGTAACTAACTGTTCTGGCCTAAGTAAGAAGATCCGTGGTAGTAGTCCAAAGTGCCTTTCAGCCAGGTGAGCACTCTGTCTCGTGTGCCAGACAAAGGATGTAGAGCTCGAAGAAAGTGGACAAACAAGACAGCGTGAACTGGATCCTGTGTCCACTGTTCCCACTGTGACAGGCACCGCAACAAGTTCCAGGGAGCCCGTGTCCAGGGCGAAGTTGACTTCGCACCGGTAGTGGATGCTGAAGTCCTCCTCCGCCTGCAGCGCCACAATGCCTTCCCAAGTTCGACCCACCGACTTTTTGACAGGTGAAAGATCAGCGCATACACGAGCAGCATCTGTCGCACAAGGCAATCTAATTCCCGCAACAAAGTCTGCCAACACAACATTTCAGCAGCAAAGCAAAGGCAACTTCTGAAGAAGTGTTGAAGGCAACTTTGGTGATAGCCGCCAAGTATACTCCAACTAAAATGGCTCGGATGACCAGCATCTTCGTCTGAGATTTGTTCGGCTCAGCTGGGATATTCTTCCAGGATGCTCCATCATGGTGGTGGAAGTGGTGGTGGTGGTGGTGGTCGTAGTAGTAGTAGTCGTCGTCGTCGTAGTAGTAGTAGTAGCAGTAGCAGTAGCAGTAGTAGTAGTAGTAGTAGTAGTCGTCGTCGTAGTATAGTAGTAGTAGTAGTAGTAGTAGTAGTAGTAGTAGTAGTA